CACCAGCGGGGGCCCTGAGAGCACCCAGGGTGGAGGTGCTTTCCTGAGCTGGCCCTGTGGCCCAGCCCGAGTGTGGGTGGCCCCGGCCGTGTCTTGGGGTTCCCAAGCGCAGTGTGGGGCACAGCACTCCCGCTCCTTCCTGTGTGACCAGGGCGCCTGCCTCATCTTACATCCCTGCTTCAGGCTGTGTCTAGGGAAGCATTTGTACCATGGTGGACACTGATGATTTCAGGAAAGCTAAGAGTGAACAGCGAGCCATGTCACACCATGGCTGTCGCAGCCCAGAGACAGGGGCATAGGATGGGGTGGTGGCCAAACTCCTGAGGGCCCTGATGGTGGCTCCCTAAGCTCACGCATCTGGCAGGGGGCGCTAGTCCTCCACTCACAGCAGAATCTCATCACTCACGGTCACAGATCATGCCCTTACAGTGTGAAACAGTTTGGGTGAAAACTTACCAGAGATCCAGAAACGAAAAGGACTAGAGAGGACAGTAATCAGAGACCTCGATGGAATGGACAAATCCTTAGAACTGACTCATGCGGAAATAGAGAATCTGAATAGATCGTTAACCTAAGGAGACTGAATGAATAATCAAAAGCCTCCCAACAAACAAAAGCCCTGCACCAGAGGACATCACTGTTGAAATTTTACTGAACATTTAAGGAACTGACACCAACCTTTCTCAAACGCTTCCAAAAATGTCAGAGAGGCGCGACCACTTCCTAACTCATTCTATGAGGCCAGCATTCCAATACAAAGCCAGATGAAGACACAAAAGAAAACCATAGGCAAGTATCCCTTAGGGACAGAGAGGTATAAAACCCTCAACAGAATACTAGCAAATGGAATTAACCAGCATATCAAAAGGATTATATACCACGACCAAGTGGGACTTAATTCCAGAATGATAGGATGGTTCAGCTCATGAAAATTAATCTGGGGGCCAGGGATTTAGCTCAGTGGAAGGACCCAAGTTCAATCCCCGATACCAAAACAAAAGGAAGAAAATCAATCTGTCATATACCCCGTCAATAGAATGAAATGGGAGAAAGAAGCCATGTGACCATCTCATTGATACGAAAAAGCGTTTGACAAGATTCGACACCCTTTCATAAAAAAAGTGCTCCACAAAGTAGGATGGAAGGAAACTGCCTCCACCTTACAAAGTCATCTGTAAAAAGCCCACAGCTACAATTGTAATCAGTAGTGATCCACTGAGCACTTTCCTCTGAGATCATGGACAGAACAAGAATGGCTCCTTTCACCATTTTGAGTCAGCATGGTGTTTCCTGGAACTCACAGCCAGAGCAGTTAGGTAAGAGAAATAAAAATCCTTCCAATGGGAAAGGAAGAAGTAAAATCATCTCTGTCAGTAGATGATATGATTATACATGTAGAAAACTCAGAACATGCCACCAAAACAAAACAAAACCCTGCTGCAACTCTGTAGTAGTCAGCTTTCCTCTTGTTGGACACAATCCTGAATCCCACAGCTTAGAGATGTTTCATTCAGCTCACAGTTTCAGGGGATCCAGTCCCTGACCTGCTGGGTCCACTGGAGGAGCATCATGGCAGAAGGATGTGGGGGAGCAGGAACCAGATACAGCATCCAAGGTCGAGCCTCGTGACCCTTCAGAGGTGTGGCTTTCTAATCCACTGCCTGTTCCTAACCAGGTCAGGTTGATGTATCAGGATTAGTGGTCACAAACTAATAAATTCAGCACAGCAGCGAGATAAAACTCAACATGCAAAAAATCAGTTGCACTTCTTTTCTCTAACAATGAGAAGGAAATTAGGAAGACAATTCATTTATAATAGCCTGAAAGAGTATGATACTTAGAAATAAAATTGAAGAGACTAAAGACTTGTACACTAAAAACTACAAAATATTGCTAAAAATTAAAGAAGACACAAATAAATGGAAAGATATCCCATATGTATAGATTGGACCTTATTGCTGTTAAGATATCAGTACCCAAAGCAGTGTACAACCCAATGATGTTTTTTTTCAGAAAGAGAAAAATTCATCATGGAAATTATGTGTTATCTCTAGGGACCCTGAAGAGCCAAAATAATTTCAAAAAAGAGAAATGAAGTTGGAAGGCTCTCAATTCCTGATTTCAAAACTGACTACTAAATGAGTAGTAATTGAGACACTTTGGTATTGGCATAACAACAGGCACAGATTAGTGAGACAGAATGGACAGCCAAGAAATCAGCCCTGCATATATGGCCAAATGACTGTCAGCAAGAGTGCAGATTCCAGGGACAGGACAGCCTTCAAAAGGGCAGCCAGGAAACTGGAAGTCCACATGCAAAAGGGTGACACAGGACCCTTATCTCACAGCAGTGATTACAAGAAATGCCTCAAAACGGACAGGGCGTGGTGGCGCACACCTGTGATCCTCGCACTCAGGAAGCTGAGATGGGAGGATTGTCTCGAGTTTGAGGCCAGCCTGGGCTACGCAGTGAATTCAAGGTCAGCCTGAACTGCATAGCAAGCCCTTGTCTCAAGACACTAAAACCAAAAACCCTCAAAATGGATGAAAAATCTAAGTATGAGTTAAAAACTACAAAACTTAAGTGTCAGAGTTAAAAACTACAAAATTCTGTCTTAGCTCTTGTAACCAAGTGCTGTGGGCAGGATGGCCGTATCACTCAGCCCTGAAACTGGGAAGTTGTGGGCTCTGGTGAGGGCCCCTTCTGGCTGCACAGAGTGACTTCCTGTGACCCTCTTGGGGTGAGAAGACCACTGGAAAGCTCTCTGCCCCTTCTGACTCTTCTCACGAGTACACCACCCTCACCATCACCTGGAGTATTTCCGGCCTCCCACCTCGGAGTTGGAAAAGGGAAGACTCTGCAAATGACCCTGATTCTTTCAAAGGCAATCATTTGGAAGAGCAGGGTTTTTTCTCCCTAATGCGAGCACTGTAGTGTCAAGCAGACTGAAGTTGTGGGAAGTTCTCCTGGGGCATTCGGAGGAAGCAACGATGTAAGGTCTGTGCACATGGTAGGGGCAGGCAGGGAGGAGAGCCTCCGGGTGCCCAGGGCCTGGGTTGCCTTGGACACCTACACCAAAGCAGAACAGCACTGCCAGGTCGTTGTCTTCGCCTGTCCCTCCAGAGCACTGGGGTTATTACTCCTGTGCCATGCTGGTGAAAGGCCTAAACAGTAGGATGCCTGTGACAGCAACCATGTTGGGGCAGAGCGTGTCAGTGAACATAAGTGAGTTATTAGTTATGTGGCTATTAAAATGGCAATGATCAGCCAGAAGTGGCAGCTCACACCTAGAATCCCAGCACCCGGAGGCAGAGGCAGGAGGATCACCTCAAGTTCAAGGCTAGCCTGGGCTACACAGGAGACCCTGTCTCAGAAAACCAGTAAATGAAATAGCAGTGATGGCAGTGGGCTCTGTTGTCTGTTATTGTTCAGCAAAGCCGGAAAAGGGCAGCAGCAGAGCGCTCCTCATACCACTGAAGACAGAGAAGCTGGAGCTACTCAGGGCTCAAATGAAGGCTTGTGAAGGAATCAGCACTGGCAATCAAAACCGTTTGTCTGAGGGGTGGGCTCGTGGATGCAGTTCCTCCTGCTTTGGAATGTTCTGTTTTGCTGTTACACTCTTCCTGCTAAACTGGAAGCCAGCAGGAATCAGCCCCTTCCAGGCAGCCTGCACCAGAGCTGCCTGCCCCGTCCGCCCCACTCCAGGCCCGAGGCTCAGGACCTGGTGTCTGCCCGGGCTGGAAGCGTGCAGGACGTGTGCAGGCGGGACCCCCACACGAGCAGGAGGGGCCCTGGCGGGGACAGGCAACACGGGAAGGAGGCACCTGCGATGGGACTGCTCGCGCACCCGGCCTCCACCTGCACGCTCCGAGGCTGTCCATCAGCAGGGTCCATGCAAAGACAAGTTTCTGTAAGAATCTGATCAGCCATGTGACAAGTTAAACTCAACAGACAGCCACGTGTCAAGCACGGTGCCCACCGGCAATCCCAGAGCAAGATGCTCACGCGCTTCGCTTCACACAGCGCTGTGTACAGGGAGGGGTGCGCGCCAGGCAGGTGTGGGCAGCACTGGGTGGTGAGAGGGAGGCCTGGGGATGAAGGAGGGAGGCCGGGAGGGAGCGCTGGCGCCGGGATGCTGCACACTGGGGTGGCAGGAGGACCAGGCCTCGTGCGGTGGGTCACGGGCTGTGTGTGGTGGACAGGATCATCCGAGGTCCCATGCAGGTGAGACGCCAGTACCACGGCGCTGGAGTCAGTGGGACAGGGCAACGTGGATGCGAGCGAGCCGCCGAGGGCATTCACCAGCTCCACCAGACCCAGGACCACAGGCTGATGACCACTGGTGTCCTGGGCCTCGTGAGCGGGCCTTTTGGGGGCGTCTCTGCTCCAGTCCTGGAAGGACGAGGGGCCAGGTGGAGAGCTGTGCTGCTGGTCTCCACCCAAGCCCAGAGGTGCGGTGCTGTTGGGCCACCCTGTGCTGCGACCCTCACAGAGCCAGCCGTGCTTGTGCTGTGAGGCGAGGCTGTGCGTGTCAGGGCACTGGCGTGTGTGGCCCTGCACAGGTGGCCAGCGTGTCACGAGGCGGGTTTACTCAGGGACACCTGGGCTGTGGGGAGCCCGTGATCCCAGTCACTCGGTTACCATGGCCGGCCTGGCAGGGACACCGTGCCAACACATCTGGGGTCGGGAGCGGCCCACTTGTCAGTCTGGCTTTTGGAAAAAAGGTGCCAAGCAAGCAGATGTTGAGTGACATCTGACTTCTCTGCCCAGGCTCCATCAGACTGGGTCAGCCTGGTGGCCTGGGCTCTGGGTTTCCTCCTCGCCTGCAGCCAGGGCTGCAGGGAGAGCCCGCACCCTGAGCCGTCCTTTACAGTGTGGATGCACTGGTCTGCTGTTCGCCCGGCCCTTGAGCACACGGAAGTGCAGGTTTGTGGAAGCCAGCTCTGCAGATCTGGGTGCTGCTGCCAGGAGAGGAGGCTAACCCTGTCTCTGTCCCCAGGAGGGGCACCTGTGGCCTCCAGATGCTGCTGTGCTGCGGCCCGGGGCCTCAGAGTTAAGTGGGGCGAGGGCTGGGAGCCACTGCAGGGCACTGCCCTGGAAGGGACCCCCACTTGCGTCTGAACCCCACAGAGGACAGGTTGAGACCAACTGTGAGCCCCGGAAGCTGCTAAGCAGTGGCCGGCGGGCACCCCGCGTGCATTCCTCAGGGCTGCTGCCTTTGAGTTGGAAACCGCGCCTGCCTGTGTGCACATGTGTGTCAGTCATCACACGTCCTCGTGCTGCCCTCTCTGGGGTGGTGTGGAAGACGCTGCCTGGACAGGTCTACGATCACACTCACTTTGGGATTCGAAATAATTCTCAGGCTGTCGATGAAAAGTAACTCCAGAAAACTATCAAGCACCTAAAACACCGAGAATAGGGAACCAGAAAGGAGAAAGAGGGGTCCCTTTTTCCACGTTCTTACAGAAAATGTTGAAACCGTCCAGCCTCACAGCGTGGTGCGGGGAACCTGGGCCTGGGCTCTCGAGAGGAGCTGGGGTCCCTTCCCCGGCAGACCAGCCCGTCCTGGCTCCTGTCCCGTCCGACGCCCACCCCCGTCTGCCCCCGCGTCCATCTGCCTGTCCCCGGTGTCCCCTGCCCCCCGACTGTCACCACGGCTTTCCTATCGCCCCTGCAGGTCACCTTCGCGCCGTGGGACCGCTTCGGCCGCCCGGCCCCGGCCCTGGCCCTGTCGTATGCGCGGCCCGACCTGCACCTGCCGCCCACCATCTCGCTGGCAGACGGCGAGGAGCCGCCCCCGTACCTGGGCGCCCGCGCGCTGCGCCTGCGCGACCCCGAGCAGCAGCGCGAGCTCAGCCGCGAGTCCGTGCGCGCGCCGCCCAACCGCACGGTGTTCGCCGGCGGCCCTGGGGCCTCGTGCCCGTGCCCGCCCAGCAGCCGCGCGGGAGTCAGCGCCGCTGCCCACTGCGGCCCAGGGCACAGCGGGCCGGGCGGGGCGTGCGGGGCCGGGCCGCCGCCGCCCTACAGCGAGGCGACCGGGACCTCGCGGCGCACACAGGACCAGGACCGCAGGCCCGGGGACCCCGCCTGACCCCGCCGGGGTCCCTGCCTCCTTCCGGGTCAGACCCGAGCAGACCCCGGGCAGGGGCCCCACCCCAGGGGTCGCGCTAGTGTCCCTAAGGTCACCTCCGGAGGACAGGACGGACAGGCGCGAGGCGGCGGAGGGACCTCGCGGACCGGCAGCGGGCGGCGACCCTGAGGTCGGGGCCGCAGGGGCGCTCGTGTGCTATTCAGACCGCATCCCGGATCCCGGGTCCGCCTGCCGTTCTGGGCCCGGTCCTGCCCGCGAGAGCGCAGGTGCCCCCCCCC